TATCCCGAGGGCGCAAGCAATGAGATTTGCATTAGATATCGGTTTTTCATGGTGCTAGACCATCACATACACACAGCCTGATACAGCTAGTGCTCGCGTACCTCCCCAACTGGATCCAGGTAGATGTTCCCTGTTCTGTCGCCCTTGAAAAGACCTGGACTCGACCGGCAGAGTCTACCAGTCCATCAAAAAAAGGACTTCCTACTGCCAAATGGGTGCCGTCTCCATTCATAGCCAAGGCTAGACCAAAGCTAGTTCCACTTTCATCGGCCTCAATCACTTGGACATCACCGGTACATACACCGTGGGAATGCGTGTGAGAACAGCCTTGCACGAAGCCACACATTCAGGTTGTAACGAACAACAAACGAACCTCCTCCGAAAACTTCCAAGTTGACAAAGAAACCCCAAAGTATTGAAAGGACAAACACTAGCCCTTTCTCCAAGTCGTTCTGGTCAAATGGCGAACCGACAGCAACAAACTTGCCATCGCTGGACATCGCTACAGCACTTCCCATTTGCTGAGTTGCCGCTTGCCTGTTCATTGGATGTGGTCAACTGCTGAGATTGACCCGTGCATAATGTAAGCGGGACCACGGCAAGCAACTTACCCGCGATCCAGTGGAACAAGTGAAAATACCAGCTGCTCAGTCCGAAGCACGTAGTTGGACCCATCGCGATAATCGAAGAAGTACAACCTTCCCACCTCCGTATCCGCCCCCTCATCATAAAACGGGGCCCCAACAACCATGAATACAGCATCATCGCTCAATGCTATGGACCTGCCAAAGCCTTCGCCTGGGTTCAGTTCGTCAAGGTCTACTCCTCGCTTTATCCACGTATCACCAGAGGCATTGATTTCGTACACCTGAACGTAACCATGACTTGCCGAGTTTGCGGAAGCTGCAAGAGTTTGCCCATCAGGGCTCAACCACACAGCAAAACCAAAACTTTCAGAATCATCAAGTTTTCCAATGATGTCTTGGCCTTTTTGAGTCCATGTCCCACTTGCAAACTCAAAGACGCGGACGGCGCCTCTTTCAAAGCTGAAATCACCCTCTTCACCTGGGGCTCCAACCGCCATCATGTTGCCTACAGCATTCATTGAAAGACTGTACCCAGTCAATGATTGGACAACTCCTTGGATACCGGCATAATCTCCGAGCCTGACGTATCCATTACGCAAATGCCGACTCTTTTCGCTCCTGCGAGTTCGAAGAAACTGTGCAATTCCTGGAGGAAGAGGGTCGCCATGGGCTGCGAATACAACAGGCCAACACCAGCATCCTACAAGTAGCACGAAAAGCATCATATCGACAAATACCATTGTCGTAATGTGCCCTCTATCGATAGTACTGCGGATAGCTGTAGTTACTTATTGGGTGGCTTGCGAAGATCAGCAATCTCGCATCGCCGGTCGCGAGCGTTTCGTTGTGGCTACTGGTTCGTACTTGCGAAACAAACCGAAACAAGGGATGCCAACCCTCACGTGTGCGCATACCTACAGTTTCAACGCTCACTTGACTGTTGTACGATACTAGTACAAGTTTAATCCCTCATGGCACGTATGGTACAGTACCGATACTTAGCCTCGCGATGCGCCTTATTGTCATGCTCCAGAGTAAGGCACGTGGAGGCGGTTCGAGGAGTTTCGAATGATGTTTGGCTACAGTACCACTATGATAGCCAAAGTCTGGACCGGCAGCATCCTCGCTACGTCCATAGAACATAAAAGGCTTGGTACAGAAAGTACAGCGGGACCTCCGTGCCAACATCAGCCCAACCGTACACTACCCCTGTAGAAGCGCCGTAGGCGATTAGCCAATCAGAATCGATGACGTCACCCGACTGACTGACGTCAGTCGTGCACACGATTCGATCACACGATTCGA